AGAGGTATGGACAATTTGATACTCACAGGACAGATTGAAGGCAAGTGGGAGAGAGGTAAACAAAGCCTGACCTACCTAGCGAGCGTGATCATTTTTTTTTCCAGTGAGAGTTACTCTTTATAAGGCTCGGTGGCCATTCGAGGGAGTCATTTGTGTGTATAGATGAGGGAGATAACGATTAACCCTAGGCTTGAATATGTTAAGATTGTAGCGAAACATCTTGTTGGGAGTCGATTCTTCAGGGCAGGGTTCGCGCGACGAAGCTGCTCCAGTGGAACTTACTATAGAATAAGGAGGAAATGCAGGTTGTTTACTAATATGTAAGTGGCATGGCGTGTACTGGCCGTGAACATTTGCCTTTGCGGGACCACATAATGTAGTTCGTCCGAGCACTTCCCATGGAAGTAGCGTTAGAGCAGCGAGAGACTTGCCACATCACGACTGGAGGACGGAGTTTGAAGGGTGGAGAATAATTCGTCACCCGCAAAAACTCAGGGGATGCATTTAAAGTCTATCAAGGCTGGAGAGTGGGGTCTTGGCAGCTCACGCACAGATATGAAAAGCAAGGGTTAGGAGAGATAACAAAAAGTCAAAATGTATTAAAAACTACAAAAAAAAAAAAGAAAAAAGAAAATGCGTAGAGCCATCATCATCAACGTCCACAAGGGACACGAGACATAGAAGAAGAATCAGGATATCCGGTTACTATTTGGAATGAATAACGTTGGGAGAATTTGTTACAAGACATGTTTATATTATTCAACTAATACCTACGGATCCGTCCACTATCTCACTTCTTCAAGGGAGGAAATCTATCTATCTATCTATCTATCTATCTATCTATCTATCTATCTATCTATCTATCTATCTACAAACACACACACACACACACACAAACACACACACACGCACATATATATATATATATATATATATATATATATATATATATATATAATTATCATAATGTGTGTTTGTCTGTAATGGGATGTTGTTTATGCGTTTCCGCAGTTTTCATCCGATTTCGATGAAATTTGTTTGTTTGATAGATAACTCTTCAGTGCCGGTTTTGAGCCCAAATTCTTCGCGACAATGGCTCTCCACTACTTCCTGTCTATTATAACTCTCAGCAACATTTTATTATTTATTTGGATATACATCTTTCTGAAGAATTTTAATAAAAATAAAAAGTTTAAATTATTACAATAATATTATCTATATCTATAATTCTCAAAATGTGTGTGTATGTATGTGTGTGTGTATGTATGTGTATGTGTATGTATGTGTGTGTGTATGCATGTATGTGTGTGTGTGTGTATGTATGTGTGTGTGTCTGTGATCGGATGTTGTTTATGCTTTTCCACAGTTTTCATCCGATTTCAATCAATTTTTTTTGTTTGATAGATAATATCTCAGTACAGGTTTTGTGTCCAAATTGTTAGCGACAATGGCTCTCTACTACTTCCTGTCAATTATAACTCTCAGCAACGTTTTACTATTTATACTATCTGTTCTTGGATATATATCTTTAATAAAAATAGTGTAGATTATAATAATAATATTATCTTCGACATTATTCTAAAAAATGATTATCAAAGGACTTAATGGCTGAGGGGAAATGCCTTTTCAATCGCTACTGCGCGTGAAGCTGAAACAAGATTGAGAAAACAAAAACGGCCATTTTCAGGGTCCCTCCCCCGCATATTAAAATTGTTAATTCCTCATTTGGAGATGTGCCTCAGTTGACCCCAGTTGTTGTTACTAATGTTAATTTTCGGGTTGGCTGACTTTAAACTTAAACTGCTCCAACTGAACGGCAAAAATTCCCATTAATGAAACACCGGGGCGAAGACGGGTTATACTGCTAGTTGCTAAAGTATATGAAGCAATTACGCTACCCTTATCCACAGATCGATAATTAAACACACACTTCCAACTAATGAGGGTATATCATATTACGACTGATGTCAAGATGAAGTTCTTGTGCGCAAGGTCTACGGTCTTGCGTTAATGTTTCAGAATTGGCAATATCCGTCGGAGTCCAGTTATTAGATATCAGCTAAAATCTGTCTGTTTTGTTTTGTTTTTGTTTTTGTTGTCTATAGATTTGTTTTCTTCTTTTTTCTTTTTTTTAGCAATCTTCCAACCATATCAAAGGTTATTCCTAAGTTGGTAAATGTCACGCTAAAAATTTCGCGGTTCTTATCGTCATGAACAACATTCTCCGCTATAATCGATATTTGATCGATAAACGAAGAATAAGCCAATTTTATTAATACTTCATCATTTCTACAAAACCGAGCTACTTCAGAAGATAACGCTGGGCTAGCTTGTTTCAAAGGCCGTCGCGAATATACTGGTTTCGATCCTGCTGGCTTGCCGTTGGAAGATTAAACTAAAATTATAAAGTAGGTCTACAAGAAGGAATCCCTATTGTATAACCGCATGAACATATAGGACTAATTAATGAAGCTCATCTGAACATTTGCCATGGAAATAGCGACTAAGCAAGCACTATTAGGTGGAAGTCGAGTAATTGAAAAAAATATATTAATTGTACCAGTACTTTCCTTTTTTTCATCATGTTGATCCTGAGGAAGCCAAGATCGAATCATCGCAGGTATCTTCGTTTCCGGCTAGTCCAAGCAGAACGAAGACGCAAGGGAAAAAAATAACACACGTATAAATTGAACAAAAAGTCAATATTGTTTTTATATCAGTCTTTAGTACAAAAATTGGTCATATCAAAGTTCGCATGCATTTAATTATCAGAACAAAACGCGTCTGTCGTTGATGACTTGGTAAAGTCTGGGTTGTTGTTTTGGTGAAGTCGGTACAAAGCTGAAATCCGGGGGTTCTCATCGGCAGGCAATGACGTGGGGTGTATCAAGACCGGTGACTGGGACAAACTCTCTGTCATCACTCTCCTGTCTCTGGTCTCCGTCTATGGTCTGACGAATTCTCTTCGCGCATTCATATTTATTGACATTTGTTCAAACTGGCGCGAGGCGCTGCGCATAGGGGGGGGTTCGGTAAATCATTTTCGTTGTCAACTTACTTCATAATTCTGGGAAATTCCCTTCTTCCACTCTGTCATATTATTGCCAATCACTAAATCCCCTCAGTGAACGTGGGTGGCATATCCACCCGCTCCTGGTATTTCAACTAAACTTTCGACCAGGAGATATCAACTCCAGATTCGTTGTTTACGAAAATGAAGTTTTCGCTTTACAGCTTGCATTTTCAGCTGCATAAAACACATGTCAGTCATCATTGCCATCTAATTCTGGGTCATTTTCTACTGTTCAAACCCTGGACACATCAAATCCAGGTGTCGTCTATATGTGAATTAAATCGTCAATCTTTCCCACGGATTTTAGGTATCGACCCATCTTGCTGCAAAATCTTTCAGTATATTCTACTTCTATCCATAAGCAAACTATCCTGTGTTTTACCGCGGTAACCACAAATTGCGAGGCGATAATATCACCAGGACGTAGGGTGTTCTGGGAATGAATGGTATAGAGAAGAATTTTACGGGGGAAAGAGGACAACAAAAGAAAAAATTTCAGGAAGACCGGAGATGACAATTGACGCTATTTGGTACCCAAGAGAAACAGTTCCTTTCAAAAGATCGCAATTTCTGATAACTTTTTAAATTCTTGGAGAAACGCGTTCTTTTCATTTTTTTTCCGCCGTTCAGACAAACGAAGTGAAAGAAAATCACATAAAAATGTTTACTGAAATTGTTTTCCAATGAATTTTTATAATTCATCTTAAATGATCATCGAGATTATCCAGGTGTTTACGATAATCACGGTAATGGATAAAGAATTACATATTATATGAAATAAACAAGACAAAAATAAGAATAAACTTTATTTTTTAAATCATTTCACCCCATGCAAAGTAGTAAAGCCACTAAGAGAGAAGAGGTTACCAAGTGTGAAAAAATAGGAAAAAAGTAAACATTATTAAGGCATGAAAATAATAGAATTCCCCCACCCCCTGTTATGGGTAAATAGCAGAATAGACCGGGTTCTATAACCTTGGATGGCAACTGGTCTACCGCAGAAAGAAATGGCAAACTACTGCGGGATAAAAATCTGCCTCGTCAGTTATGTATCGAAAGTTACATGATCGTTTAAGCGTTTATTATGCTTGGAACATAACTGACTTAAACAGGAAGACAAAAGATAACTTTTGAAATTGCATTTAAAGTTTTGAAGATCAAAGTTGCCTGGAAAGCAAGGAGCAGGAAGAGAGCTCCACAAACGAGGAAAGAAACTGGTGGCATAGAACTTACGGTTACATCCAGCCGATGTAATTACGAATTTAGGAGACCTTGTTGCCAATCAAGTACTGTGATTAAATTCATAAAGGTACTATTGCGAAGTGCGATATTTATTCCGCTTATGCACAGAAATGGAGCACAAATCGATAATAGGGGATGGGGAAAACGAATAGTCTTCTTCTGTCTTAAGATTAAACTTAACTAGTCACGATCAGTGACTTAAACATACAATATCCCTTACACCAAAACAACGCATTCTTACTTCCCATTCTTACAACAATCACCATAATGCCTCACTGTCTCTAAAGCAAGTTCAACCGAATAATTACCATGAAATATTTATAGAATAAAAAACATAGGGAAGCTACATTATGGCGGTCGGACAGTGACTGAAGGCGAAACGGAAAATCAGGAACCTAGTTAAGAATTTTATCTGAAGGGGTAGCAGAAAAAGGACACAGACGGGTGTTAAAGTGTCAAAGGTTACTTAAGGTAACAAAAGACAGGAGAACCTTGATCTGACATATTACCCATGAGTCCTCCTCCACGATGAATATTTTGAAAGACTTTTGAAACCGCCATTGTCTCGTCTGCAGGTTGGCAGTTCCTACTCTTAAAATGCCAAATTGATTAGATTTCTTCTTCTCTTTATGAATTCTTTTTCCAAATGTCAAATTTACATTTCTCCCTGTCTCAGCCAGAGACTACAGCCATATCACATTGAAGCAACGGTTCCTGTACGATCACCGAAATTAAGCAACGTCAAGCCTGCTCAATACCAAGATGGGTGACTGCTTGGGAATACTAGGTGATATTAGCTTGGATGTGCAGGGGGTATAATAGATAATGGCTCGGTATTATGAATCGTAGTACCGAGTTCTAATACCTGCTGTTTTTGTTATATTCAATTACGTGCAAATACCCTTGTGAGAGGTATGGATCCACATCTTCACTCTGTAGCTATGGGTTAATCAGTATAACATGTATTAATAAATCATTATTATCTAAAAAGAATTCTGACAATTTAAAAATATTTTCTGGCTTTAAATAACATGCAAAAGGTTGATAAGCCGTAAAAAAAAACAAATCAGTCAATAATAACCTATCAGGAAAACTTTTGCAAACCATTTGACACATTTCTTCATTAATCTCAGAGAAATGTTTTCAGAAATTGCTTGTTTTAATTTGTGAATCGTTGCGTAGATGGGTGACTTCCACGCAGGCATTTGTTCGCAGAAAGAAATGGCCACCTACTGCGGGAAAAATGCCTCGTCAGTCATGTATCAAAAGACACCTGATCGGCTAAGTGTGTATCACGCATGACAAACAGCTGATTGTGATGGATGCTGCAAATTTGGATGTGTGGATGATGTAAGAAAAACAGCACGGAATTGTGAATCGGAGACCCAGGTTCCAATTCCAGTTAGGTCTGTTATATTCACTTACGAGCAAATACATTCGGAAAAGTTATTCATCCACCTCTTCTCCCCCGAGGCAGCCATAGGTTAATTAGTAAGCCTTGTATTACTGACGGATTATTATCTAAAAGAAAAAAAAATCATCCAATGTCAAAATATTTTATAGCTTTAAAATAATCTGTGAAGTGTTGATAAGCACTAGAAAATAAATTAATGTTTCAGCTAAGATGCATCCAATTTAAACTCATACCCATTTCGAGGTCGAAAAAATGTTTATGGTATTTTGACATGAAACGCGTGTACAACAGTAGATAAGCCAAAGTTTCAGCAATTGACAATAACAAAGTAACTTTGTCTACGTGGGAAGCGTCGTCAGTAAAATGGGAGGACAGATGAAAGAGATCAAGTGTCGAATCAACAAAGCCTGACACGCTTTCGACAATTTGAGGACAGCCGTCTCACTTCACAACAAAATCCGGATTTTCAGCACCAACTTCAAGACGGTCCTACTTTACGACTCAGAAGCCTTGAGGGTAACCAAAACCCCCACCCACAAACTTCAGACATTTACCAACCGTTGTCTCAGGAACATCCTTAATATCAGGTGGCCGGAAGTCGTCTCCAACGACTAACTGTGGGACACGACCAGGCAAAACCCAATCAAGATGGACATCAAGAAACAGAAATGGGGATGGGTCGACCACATTCTCTGTAAGCCTGCTTCTAGTGTCAGCAGGCAGGCCCTTGAATCGAATCCACAAAGGAAACGAAAAGGGGGTTGACCAAAACAGATTTAGCGCAGAAGTATTGACACATAGGTGAAGGCAGCCGGCAGGACATAGGCCCAGCTGAAGAGGATCACCCGGGACCTCGGCCGTAGGAGAGATGTTGTTGCGGCCCTATGTTCCCAAGAAATCAACAGGCATAATATATATATATATATATATATATATATATATACATCTATCAGTCTTGACGGCTGAATGTTAGTTTCACCTACAAAGGCAGACGCAGGTTCGATTTTATGTTTATTGATAAGTTTCAAACAGCAATTTGTTTTTTAAGTTTGTTGAAGGTGGATCAGCCAGCTTTTAAATAGCAGAGCAGATATTTCTCTTCGGCTTTGGTTAGCAACCAATGTAAGAAAAGTAAAAATAGTAAGTAACGCTGTTATACTTCATGCTATATGCATCTACTGAAAGGATTTTATAGGTTACAATCACTCTATAATCCTGAAGCTGCGTATGAGCGTTCATTTCTTCTTTCTTGGTCAAGTTTCCCGATATGTTTTGGAGTTATCATTCTATTTCTCTTTCACTTAACAACATGATGTCCCACTGTACACACATTAATTTCTTCCGTCAACACAAACTTCACCTAGATTATTCATTTTCCACTCCCCTTTTGAATTCTATAACAGCTTGTGATCTTCTTGTTTCGGGGTATTTTATTAAAAAAATTATATTAAAAACCAAAAAAAAAAGAAAGAAGATGTTTCTGCTATTCTTCCTGTCACATTACTTCTTTTTTTACATTCGTTCCAACCTTGCGGGATCCAACTTCAAAGAATTCCGGTCACGTAAAATCCCGGAAGTTGAGTTTTTGCTCGATTCCGCGAAGGTTTGATCGAATTTGTCAATAACCTCGGGAAAAATGTTTTAAAGATTGGCTTGCGACAATTACCGAACGTTTTACTTTGCCTTCTATTCCTTACCTAATTGAATTTCAAGATTATACAAGGGGTCTGTAAAATCGTTGTACGTGTTTAAACTTGTATTAGCTTCTCTTCAGTGCCTGCCATAAATATTCAGTAGATTTTTATCCCCTCAGCAGATGTTGAAAATTCGTTTAATCGCTAGAGCATTGGTCACATTGCTTTGGGATTAGCTTTTAACATAAAAGAGCATCAGATATTATTCACTGAACAAGAAAGACATTGATGAAGATTATACATTAAGGCAGGTCGATTTTGGAACTATGGTATTGCACTCAATTTAAAAGATGACGATTGACATAATAAATAACGACACAAAATACTTTTTTTCTGATTCATTGTCATTTTGAGGAAACGAATTTTAATGACTAAGGTCAGGTTCAAAATCGTAGAGTTGAAATTTCATTTCGGTGATCAGTAAAAGCCTTATAGCATAGCCTTATCAAATTTATAATTTACTGAAGATTTTAAAAAAAATATATGGACAAGATGATTGGCACAAGGAAATTATTACTAAATCAGCGTGATATCGAATAAGACCTTCATTTATTCCAAACGGAAATTGTACTGAACAATGTAGCTATATTATGATGTAATATATTATACAGTGTAGGTGTTTTAGTGTGATCTTCGATAAATAATGCAAATTTAAAAACATTTTGTTTTATAATTTGTACCCAGCAGTATTATGGTGTCATATACACGCTTATCTATTTTTTTTTTTTGTTTTTATTAATTATGATTTATCAAATGATCTAATACATCTTATTCATCGAGTAGATTTTGTAATCTTTTACAATTTTTTTACACAATTTTTTTACACAATTTTTTTACACAATTTTTTTACACAATTTTTTTACACAATTTTTTTACACAATTTTTTTACACAATTTTTTTACACAATTTTTTTACACAATTTTTACTTATCGAATACAGAAAAAATTCCATACTTTGCTTGTGGTGATTCATAATTAGAATTTTGGTTTGAATATATTTTCCATTTAATGTATCTAATACAAAAAATATGAAATTCATCTGGATTTATTCTCTAGAAGTAGTAAAAAAATTCAATTCAGTTTGTAATCAAAAACCTGCGGAAATCAGTTATTTCTGTATATTTTTTCAGGCGATCTTTCAAACTAAATGCTGCAAAAATTGGCGAATGCTATGAATCTAATGTTTGGTTTCAATTTCATCAAACTCCATCTTTCACACCGAGTAAATTATTGATTTCCTAAAATTTGGAAAAGCAACCAGCCCTAATATCCACGTGTTTCGCTCCAATGAGCAAGATGTTCAGATGTGTAAAAAGAAATTTCATTACTCGAAAAGTCCTTCATCGCTTTGTGACTGAAGTTATTTCTTTAAAAGAAAGGGACGTCAGAATGATTTTGTTGAACTATAAATATGATGCCATGCTTACTGCTGTCATCACTAAACTTGATCTTCAAAAAGCATCCGGAATTGATAGTCCTTAAAAAATATACTCCTGAATTGACTCCTGGTATCTCATAATTATACAACAAATGGGCTGTTTTTTCTTGCTTTCCGACTTATTGGAAATACTCTTCTGTAGTTCAACTCAGTGGAAAGGTCTGATCCTTCTAACTATTGGCCTATTAGTGGTCTACCGATTACGAGTGTCTCGAATCAACTCTGAATTCGCAAAAGCAATATGGCTTCTCTAGGTTCAACTGCTGATGTGTTAGCTGTTACTGCTAAAAGAGTATCATACTTTAGATAAGAATGGTGAACTTCGAGCCGTTGATCTGGATATCTTGAAAGTGGTTGACAAAACTTGGCATGCTGGTCATCTTTGGAAGATGAAAGGCTATGGTATTCTGGGCGAAGGTTTGATCTGATTCAATCAAAAAGCGAACTGAAAATTGTCTTGAACGGCCAGTCATCTAGATCGTTTTGTATTAATGCAGGTATTGTCTTAGACCTAAGGTGTTCCTAATTTTCATAAACGACCTTGCCGAGGTCATCAGTCTCCAATCAGTATGGCATATACGGATGACAGAACTACCGCGTGTAACAGTAAAATTGTCCAAATCGTGTAACAGCAAAATTGTTCAATTGTTAGATTAAGCTGTGAACCGTTGTATCTTAGAAATGATTAAAGATATCTTACTGGAATTCCATGAGGTTTTTATGACATTATTGTACTCTACTTTGAGCAATAAGAATATATAATTACTCTCCCTGCTTAACAGAAGTCTCGTGATGAAATCGATCGTAAACGAAAATGTCATGTTCATAATAATTGATCATAACTAAGTATCGATAGCCCATGAAGAATTTAAATAATTTCATATATATATATATATATATATATATATATATATATTATATTACATCAGGATCATTTTTTAACTTATTCAAGATGATCTCCGCCCTCTATCACTTACTAATTTTTTTCCTGGAGTAACAAACTGCCTCATGTGTTTCACGTACGATTTCATCTACAAATAACTTTTTTTTTTCACTGCTCAATGGACTGCCATAGCTGAGACTCCTGTCTCATGTGCCAAACGTCATATGAATTGAGTTGGATCTTTTCTAATTGATCTCTTTAGCTGTAAGTTGAGATGATAATCCCTCCTCCTGCTGTGACCTCCTGATCCAGTTTTCCTCTCTACTGTTCCTTCAGTTTCAAACCTATTCACCGTTCTCTTGA